CTATTACGGTTCCTCGACACGTTTTCCTTTATCATTACTTACTACTACTACTTTTTGTTCCCTTCTTGTCCACTCATTTGTTTTCGAGACGGCTTGAAGAACGCAGACGGGTCCGGCTGTGCATAACGGTTGCCGTTGGAGTCTGTGCGTCTGTGGCGTCCGCTGCCTGTCATTCCGGCTCTATTGATTCTGGTTTCATCACTGGCCTCTTTTTTTATCGTTATTCGTCGTTTTGTTTCGACTTTGTTCCATTCTCCATCCTCCCGACGTTTCCTCTATTCCTCTCTGAGGGTGGCGGGGACATCATTTGCAACTGCCAGATCATGGCAGCATTCAATTCGACGGTCGATCGCCGAAACACACCAACTGTGACGACCACCCTTTTTTATACTTGGACGAATCAGGAATTTTCTCATTACCGTTTTGGTTTTAGACGGAGGAGGGTCAGGTTTTTGACGAATATACCACGGAAAAGGGAAGGTACTGCAGACTGGAAGACTTCTTTTACTTCGAGACAGGCCGGCTAGGGTGGAAGATCCCAGCAACCAGGAATGGTGGCATGGGCAAATTTGATATTTGCTCGCCGTTTGCATTTTCTTATGCAGAACTCTGCTGCACCCAAACCAGTTGCGTGGCTCTGGCGGCCGCGATTGTTTGGTGGATGAGGCCCATGTCAGGCTATTCATTTTTCTCTTTCCATCATACATGACGTTGGAACATGCAAGGGGCTTTGGTTTGGACCAGTTTTTTTTTATGAGAAATGCGAACTTGGGCCCTCGTGAGGATCGTTGCCAGTTTGGCAGCATTCCGAATCGTTCGGTCATGGGTGGAGGAGAACTTTCCACGTTTAGCAGTTACAATATAAGATACAGTGAACTGAAGTCCCGGGATCCTCGTGATGATTGTGTATCAAGTCTTCAATGACTGCGTTAACTTCAGAGTGTGCCTCTAAGGATTTTGACTGAAAGTCAGGAGAGTAACATGACAGGTAGAGATTCCTTTGTTCCTTGTCATCACCAGCCCCCATGTCGTCCTGTGTCCTAACTCATTGTAAGCTAGACTTTGTCTCAGCTACCTTTTATGAGTATAATATGTAGTAAGTAAGCTTGATTAACGGGGTATAGATAACGTTATATTGGGAGAGCTATGTTAGTGACCAATTGGGAATGTATACAGATTTCATTAATTGCCTATAGGTGTTCAATAAAGAAGGTGGTAAAGATGTTGGCTGGTGTCTACTATAACTGACTTAATGTAGGACTCACGTCTCACAGAGAAGCTTGGAATACCTGGGCTGAGACAGCATTGAACTGATCTATTTATTCTATTTATATTACTGGCCGGAACATTCCTGGTCTCTTCTTCTTTCCTTCCTGGCTTAGTTTGGTTCACTCGGTTCTTTCATTCACGGGAAGAGGTAGGGGAGGGTAAACAAGAGTTGAGCGGGGAAGGTTGGTTGCACTACGGCTTCGTTTACGCAATGTAATTCGAAAAGACTGGGGATGTTGTGACACGGGGCTCGTAAAAAGGCCCAGAGCTGTGGGAAGGGATGATGGGCGTGTTTGATCTGGATGGGGTAAGCAGTTTTCATCTTGGCGATGGTTGGATGGAGATGTGTAGGAATTTATATTACACCGACATTATCTTGTCAGATTCCAACCAAGTTGTTTAATCTGATACTCTCCTAGGCACCTCCTCCACGCCGGACAAGGCATCACCAAGTAAACTCGTGAATACTAGGTGTCACGAGGGCCCTCTTATCCAACCCAACCCGTTTCAGCCAGTTACCCTCCAGCTCGGGCGGATAGGTACCCTTCCCCTTGAACGACCTCTCCCACGTCTCCCTCATGAACTCCTGGCCAAGCGCCTTGACCAACGCCTCCTGCACACGTTCCCACCGCCTATGCCCACTCTCAAAGGGCACAATGATCCCCGACGGCAAATCAACAAGCTGCCCCTCGAAATCCGACGCTCCATCGGGTTCCCTGCCCCAGGGGATGCCGCCCTGATACCGCACCAACGGTAACACATAATGAAGGGTAGTCACGTTCGGAAGATAGGCATAAACCGACGCCATCTTCTGACTCAGCAACCTCAGCATAGGAGGCCCAGACCAGTCCTCCACAGGAACGGCGCCGTTATTCGTGAACCAACGCCACTCGACGGCGACGTGCCTAACGCGCTCGAACCCCGGCACCACGAACTCGGGCTTACCCCGATCCTGAGCGAGGCTCGCGCGCAGCATGCGATCGAGGTAGACGACGTCCAGGTTGGCGTTGAACCAGAGGCAGGAACCCGCGCGCGGAGACGAGGCGGGGAGGAGGAAGAAGCCGCGGCGGAGGGCGGCGCGGCGGGATTCGGAGCAGATTTGCGTCGCTGCGGGAGGGGGGTGGGAGACGTAGAATTTGGCGAGGCGCTTGGGCGGTGTTGTGAGGGTGCGGGTGAGGTGGGCTGCGAAGGCCTGGCGGTCGAGGGGGTCGTTGGCGATGTCGCTGGTTTGGTGGGGGCGTTCGAAGCGGCGGATGTGGAAGACGCGGGGGTGGGTGGGAAGGGTGTGGTCCCAGATGAGGTCGCGGATTTCGGCAGGGAGGTCGGAGAATCGGAGTTTGGGTTTGGAGTTGGGAGTGGATGAGGTGGTGATGGGGGAGGTGGTGGTTATAGCTGTGGGATCCATGGCTTGGAGGGGAAGATGGTGAGGGTTGACGATGTCTTGTGGTGGAGTTGGTGACGGGAAGGGAAGGGGAGGTGATTGGATTTGGACGGGGCGGGTTGTGTGAAGCATTTGGCTGGTGAAACTGTACACAGGGAATCTTTTTTCCAGGATGAGTCTGGATAATTCGTCCTGTACTGAGGCACTTTCTCGATGCGTCAACCGGGTTTATATGTTTTTGGCGAGCCTCTTAATACCGGTACTTGAAGGGGAAGAAATTCTGTTGCCTGCACTGGATCTCAGCCTCAATACCAACAATACTAACACAATCACCAGGCAACCGAATTACAGACGCGCCAAGGCATCTCCAACATAGTCTAGCAGGGGGTAAATGTTTTGGCTGGTGATAACTGGATTGAGATTTTGAATCAATTGAATTGGAATTGGAATTGGATACTTGGATACTTCGCTCGCACAAACGCGAGAGAGAGAGAGAGAGAGAGAGAGAAGGGAAATCCCCATTTTCCCTTTCCCGGTCTCCCGCGGCTTGCCGGAGCCGGATTACCCACTCTTTACCGATTCTGACCTTCACACCCGGCAGCAGGAACCGACCAAGATAAAAAATTAAGAATAAATTAATAAACGAAAAAAAAAATATTAAATAAATCAATAACGAAAAGAAGAGAACTAGCTTCTAAAAATGGGCAGCAGATGCATGCAAGACTACGAGGACCACCTGAAAAGATGGGCTGATGGTCACCCAAATTCCTCCGAACCTTGGCCTCGACCTCGGGAAGCCGCATATTTTCCTGCATGGGAGACATGCGCCATGGTTGTGATACATCGAGGGGTCGTCAGCGGGAAACAAGCACGTCCTAGTTCCGGTGGGGAACTGATGGAGAGTGGATGATCCCATGACAGGAAAAGTGAGACTTGTGGTCGGGAGAAAGAGGTTATATGTAAATGACCCCTTGGAAGCCTGTTGCTGGGGAGATTGTCCACAGGTTCATGCTCTAAGGTTGTGGCGTTCAGATGCGTTGGGCTTGGGCATGCCACGTCGTGATTCCCCTTACTCCGTGGACGAGGGCAATTTCGCCGGGAAACAGGTCTCCATTCTGTTTTTTCGTCAGCAGCCTCTTCGAATATGTGAGCAGCCGAGCGGAGATGAAGCCCTGGACGAGAATGGATAGGGGTAACGGCGATGAAAGCAGGGAATCTTCCGAGGAAAGACTGTTTCGGTCTCCTCCAGCCGTCGTATGCAGTCAGGAGGCACAACATGAATATTCATCGAGAGGAATTGTCCGCCAGACAAAAGGCCATCCAACTCGGAAGCCCTATCTCCTTCTCGGAAACCCGGCATGCCCACAACACACGTAGGGATCCCAAGAGCCCATGGCTGATTATCGACCCGATGACATGCGTTGACCCAGACTGCATATAAGAGCCGCCCGGCTTGGAATCCAGTGGTCGCTGTGAGGGGAGGTTTCTAGAACCTCTTTGACTCTAGCAGTTCTATAGATATCTCAGCATCCTCATTTTCGGTCGTTCTGCCCTTTCCTAAGATGTCTTGTTCGATTCTAAACGCGGTGGTCGGGCTTGCCCTCTTCATGTCTGCTTCCGTGCTGGGTCAAACAACGCGTACGTTCAAGCTTTCGTTGACGAGGGGAAGTTGGAGTCCGAATGGAAACGCGAGACAAATGATTCTGGTGAATGGCCAATTCCCAGGTCCAACTTTGCAAGTATGGCAGGGTGACGAGGTGGCAGTCGTAGTGGAAAACAACCTCAATAACTCCACCAGCATCCACTTCCACGGTTAGAGATTCTCTTCTAGAATGTACCATGAATGAGAGGGCTAACATGTTCGGGAAACCGAAAAACCACAGGCATCGAAATGCACAACACCCCCTGGTCCGACGGAAGCCCTGGTGTAAGCCAAAGACCCATCGAGCCCGGCAATTCCTTCACATATCGATGGACGGCGACTCAGTACGGCAGCTACTGGTACCACTCGCACTCTCGCCACGAAAGCGAAGATGGCCTCTTCGGCAGTCTCGTTATCGTTCCTCGGTCAGACACACCCAGACCTTTTGACCAAATATCGAACAGTTCGCTGGCAATAGAGACGATGAAGCGGGCGGATGATGTCGCTTATCCTCTGCTGCTCTCAGATTTTAGAAACTTGACAGGTAGTGAGGCTTGGACACTGACGCAAGCGGCTGCTCTCGACCCGGCGTGTTGGGACTCAATCCTAATTAATGGGAAAGGGAGTGTTCGTTGTCCTGATCCGGCTGAGATCGATAAGCTGCTGAGTGACTTGCAACGGAAACAACTTAGTAAGTTGAATTTGAACATGACGGACAAAGGGTGAGTCGGCCTCCCGCACACCTCGCAGAAGTGAAAGCAAAAACCTTCCTTTCTGAGGTGCTGACGTACAAGATAACCAAATGAAGATGTTACCCACCAGAGTTGATTGCTCTGGCCTGGAACGGTCATGGAAATGGCAGTCTTGTCCCGAGCTACGTATTCGGCGATTGTAGGAGCACGGAAGGATCCCGAGAGGTCATAACCATCAGCCAAAATACCTCCTGCGCCGATGAAAGCTGGGTTGCCATCCACTTTATCGGGGCTTTCCAATCCATAACCGCCACGGTGTCGATCGACGAGCATTCGCTGTGGGTGTATGCCGTGGATGGACGGTACGTCGAACCGAGAGAAGCACAAGCAGTCACGGTCTCCAACGGGGAGCGGTACTCCGTCCTCATCAAGGCGGATAAGGCAGGCAAGTTCGCTATTCGTGTGGCGTCGGTGAGCGATCCGCAGATCATCGCTGGTTATGGGACTCTGGATGTCACAATTGCAGGCGCAGGTGGTGATGGGAGAAATGAATCGGTGCCGTATATCAACGACGCAGGGAGAGCCGTCTCGGACAACGTCACCATCTTCAACGAGACATCCGCAAAGCCGTTTCCGCCGGTGCTGGTTCCAGAGGCAGCAGATGCCACTTTCGTCTTCGAAATGGGCAACACCGAGCCCGCTTACATCTGGATGATGAACTCTGGTCCTCTCGAGTCATCCGACCTCGAAGGCAGGAGTCCCTTTCTTCTGGACCCCCAAACAACAACCAACCTCACAATCTCAACGCAAAATAACACCTGGATCGATCTCATCTTCGTCACGCACGTATCACCCAACCCCGCCCATCCCATCCACAAGCACGGCGGGAGAATGCACCTCCTAGGCACCGGATATGGCCCCTGGATGTGGAACAGCGTCCAAGACGCGGCCAGAGACATGCCCTTGTCGTTCAACATCGTCGACCCGCCGCTCAAGGATAGCTTCACATCGTTGAGAGTGGGGTTGGAGCCCGGGCAGGACGTGGCCTGGATGGCGCTGAGGTACCATTCTAGGAACCCAGGGGCTTGGTTGCTGCATTGCCATGTCTTGCAGCATTTGGTGGGCGGGATGCAGCTTGTGATTCTGGATGGAGTGGATGTTTGGCCGGAGATGCCGGAGGAGTACAGGGCTCTGGCAGAGGGGGGTGGGTGAATTCGTGGTGAGCGCGGCGAGGGGCGTGTGAGACGGAGCTGTGGAACTGGGATAGGTTGTACGAATGGGTGCTCGCTTGATTTTCTCTTCTTAGGCTCGTGGTAGTATTCTTGACGCTTACCGGGCCCGATCCCGATGGTCATTTCGTTGTTTCGACTTGTGCCTGGTTTCATCGGCGTCGAGATGTTCAATATTCTTTGGTCTTGTGTCGGGGCAGGTCGGAGGGATAAGATCCCTGAAACCAGTAATTCGAAATCTATAGCTTTTCTTTCCTTTCTTTCTTTATTCTTCTCTAATGGTACAGTTCTATACATCGCGTGGGGGTTTCCTCATCGCTCATATACATCCATCCATGTATCATATCGTACAATAATTACGCCTTCTTGTCGTTGCCGTTTTCGGCTGTGGCCTTTGCCTCCTCGTCGGCCATCATGGCACGGATATCTCTCGCTACCATCCATTCCCGCACACTCTGAATCACCCTGTCTAGCGTCTCGCCGCCCTCAAGTACATCCGGCAAATTGTGTACATCCAACCCGCTCCTATGATCCGTACACCTGTCCTGGGAATAGTTGTACGTCCTAATCTTGTCCGCCCTCGTAATCTTATCTTTGGCCAGCACGCTATTCCTCAAGCTAAACGCCATCTCTTCCCTCTCTTCCCTCCTCTGCTGCGCGACCCTCGCCCGCAGTAGCTGCCACGCCGCCACGCGGTTCCTCACCTGCGACCGCGAGTCCTGCATGCTCACCGACGTCCCCGTGGGAATATGCGTCAAGCGGACCGCAGACTCCGTCTTATTAACGTGCTGGCCTCCGGCACCTCGCGCACGCATGACCTCCTGCTTCACGTCGGACGGGTTAATGTAGAAGATGCTCTCGGGATCGTCATAGTCTGCTGTTTCAGCGTTGCTCTCGGGGAACGACGGAAGAACCCACAACGCCACGGCGGATGTGTGCGTGCGGCCTTTGCTCTCCGTAACGGGAATTCGCTGCACGCGGTGCATCCCCGCCTCCCCGCGCAGCAAATCGTAAGAACCGACATCCTCGACCTCGAGCACGGCCTCCTGCACAGGGTTCTCTCCAGCGGCGCCGGTAGAATCACCGGCCGAGTCGGCGATTTCGTACTTGACGATGCGGACGCGGAAGCCGTGCCGCGAAAGATACTGCTTGTACATGCGGAAGAGGGTATCCGTGAAGAACCGCCCTTCAAGACCTCCCGGGCCGGGGCGGAACTCGAGGAGGCACGGCATGTCGGCGAAGGGGTGCTTCGGCGTTAGCGCTGCCGTGAGTTTGTGCACGAGGGCCTCGACGCGCTCGGTCGTGGGCTCGAGCTCGTCGGCGGCGAGCTGGCGCAGTTCGGCATCCTGGGAGGTGAGGAGGCTGTGGAGCTCGGCGAGGGAGTCTTGCGCTTCATCGAATTCTTGGAGGGCCGTGGCGACGTTGGAGAGCTCGCCTACGCGCCGGGCAGTCTTGGTGTCGAAGGAGTCGGAGAGGGATTTGGATAGCCGGTCGTGTTCGGATGCTAGGTTACGGGCGCGCTGGAGGAGCGCCGGCGGGAGGCTGGTCGTGGTATCTGGGACATTTTGGTTCCTGTGATGAGCTTCGGCGCAGGTACATGTAAGACCAGTGGAGAGTGCATGGGCGAAAACTTACCAGAGCTAGCAGAGCGGAAGAATTGGGGTGCTCTGTAGCGCAAGATCGGAGTAAGAGGCCGCCGCCATATGGAATGGGTTGCCAGTCTCTTCATACCGGCCCAGTCCTTGTGCAGACTTGACAATGCTGGATTTACATAGGAGCTGGGAGGAGAGTCCTCCGCGATCGACACACTTTTTTTGCTGGACTCCAATTGATCCTGCTTCCTACGGAAAATCGCGGGATCACATGATCGACACTTCTATCAGCTGGCATCCACTGGCAACCACTGGCAACCACTGGGAGGTCCCAACTTCACTTGATCCCCAAAACTAATGAATCCAACAGCCATGCTTCAAGAGCGTTCTCTTTTGTGAAGAGTAGGCCATGTCAATCACAGATCTGTGATCTTGCGGCCGTTGGGGGTGAGGGGTGAGGGTTGGTCTACCGTAGACCTGTTATGGGCCTGACATGGATCTGTGATACATGTAATCCGAATCTGTGATGTCTGTGAGGGACTGCTCTATCACAGATCTGTGATGCTTGTCCACAGCAATGGTGGTCTATCACAGATCCGTGATCCCTGTCGGCCGCTGTCCAGTTCCCGGGCGGAGGGTACAATTGTAAGATTATCATCATCCAACGGCAATGAGGAGACTTGACCGCCCAGTGGCGGGGAAACCTGAATTATTCAATGACTCTTCCGTTATTTTATTCCCTGTACCGTCTCCTGCTCTCGTGAGGGGGTAAAACTTCATGGCTCGACGAGGGGTATCGCGAAAATAAGAGCCCCAGTCTTGCGCAATCAACAATACTCTTCGATACAGCCGACCTCATGGAACCAGACACGTTTTCGCTGGGTGAAGCGAAGCGATCCCTCCTTGAACAGGGTTTCGCAGATATGTGCGAGCCGGATGTGGGAGAGCATGTGTGGGCGTTTGAGCAGAGAGAGTTCCCCTTCTGCACGGAGGTCGGCATGGACTTTTTAATGCAACACATACTCTGTAATCCGGTAAGGAGGGATGAAACGAATTACTCTAAAGTGTTTTTTTCTAACTTATTTTTAGGCCGTACAATCCGTCGTAGAATGGTTCTTCGGTGATAAGGGATGTGTTCTGATACATTGTCTGAGATACGAACCATTTCCAGGCCATATCGAAACGTTTCTAGGCGGTCGAGGCGCTTCTCGGAAGGCCATGGTAGTAGATCTACTCGCCAAAGGATCTCGAGTTGACTACTTTACCAAGTCTCATCTCCATGTGTTTCCTGCTGAGAGAGGGGCCAGGTTAACCCGCGAGATTTCTCGATCAGCACTCCAAAAGGCAGGATGTGAAGTCTAGAGCAAAGCTCTTGATACTGGCGGCTCGTACGTTTCTCTTCCCCTTTCATGTTTACTTTTATATTATATTTAATCCTTCTAATATGTCCCAGAGTGATTCTCGACGCCCGAATTGGCCGCGAAATCCTCGAAGGGTACGCGATCACTGCTATATTTATGACGGAAGATCTTGTCTGTCGATTCAAGCTGCCACCAATGCCCCTTCCAAGCTGGCCCCTATTAAAAGACAAAGTCTCTGAGATGCAGGAGAAGTGTGGAGCGGTTAGATTGAATTTTGAATTTAAGGCTTCCACCGAGCGTACAGACGCACATCCGGTAAATACTGAGCCAGAAAACCACTTCATTTTGTGGAAGTACTGTAACTAATCATGACTTGGAAAGGTCGACAAATGATCATTCCGCATAGCTAGGCAACAGCATTGCAGGAAACACAATCAAACGTGTAGCTAGGATATACTACAAAAAGGACTACTTCGTAAATATATGCTCTCTCAAATGGCCCAGCTCCGCGAATCCCCCTTGGTGGAACTTCAGTCTTGTACTTTAATACACTCAAGTTACCATGCTTGGTCTTTCCGGGTTCTAATAAGGCCGGTTTCTTGAACCGCGCGAATGGCAATTCCTCATTAATGTTTGAGGATTCTGGTCTTCCGTGGCCTTATTATATATAGCCTGCGGGAACATGCACCTCACAACCGCCCAATCCCCACCCAAATCCTATGCAACTTGCTCCTTCCCTGCCTCGATCCCAAAAATTTCCCCGTGATAGTTATTTAAGATACAATAAGATAGCGAGATGTCACCGAAGCCAGCTGACGCAGTCAGTTGGTGACAGTAACCAGTGGTCCCGAGAGGGCTTGGGTTCGATCCTGGTCGTGTCCCAAGTTCTTTTCAGGGCAGCGGCTGCTCGGTCACCAGGGATCTGGTAAAGAAATATCCCGGCTAATGGAGATCCCCATCTGGGCTTGTCCCAGTGGTCCAGACGGGAGGCGCCACTGTAATGGTAGGGCCTTTTATTTTTTGATTAATTTAACAATATGTTTTTTCTTCTCATTTCCGGAAAATAAGTATTCGGTTCATACTAAACACTTCGATGAGGATGTAACATGCGCTGAATATATTAACAGCCAGATCTCCTCCCTCTTTTCTTTTTGTAAAACTCTCTAGGATCAATTGATATCTTTCTGTCGCCCTGCCACCGGAGCATATTCCGGAAGTCCCGCCGATCACTCGGCCTTGCGTCTCCACTAAAACTTCCCCGCATCCGGAGAACCATGCACGTCCTCCGCACTCTCCTCACCGGCCTCACCGCCGCGGCCTCCATCCCACCCGCAGCAGCGCAACCCGACAGCGGCAACAGCAACAACCAGGCGGACAACTACGTCACCTTCAACAACAAAATCATCTTCACCCCCTCGCGCAACTTCACCGACCCGCGAGTCCTCTACGCCCGCACTCTCGAGCTCTCCGACGGCACGCTCCTCGCCACCTGGGAGAACTACTCTCCCGAGCCCCCGACTGTCTACTTCCCCATCTACGAGAGCCTCGACCATGGCCAGACCTGGACCGAAATCTCGCGGGTCCACGATGCTGTCAACGGTTGGGGTCTGAGGTACCAACCTGACCTGTTCGAGCTGTCGAGGCCGGTCGGCGAGTTCCCTGCTGGAACTATCATCTGCTCGGGGAATAGTATCCCGACGGATCTAAGCCGGACACAGATCGATGTTTATGCTAGTCTGGATAAGGGGAGGACTTGGGAGTTTGTGAGCCACGTTGCTGCTGGGGGCGTCGCTCGGCCTGTTAACGAGGAGGATCCCGTTTGGGAACCCCATATGATGTAAAAGCCCACCTACCCTTTTGCTTTGGGTCAATAGTAATCTCTAACGCGGTGGGTAGCATGCACGAAGACACCATCATCCTCTACTACGCCGACCAACGGCCCCAAAACCACGGCCAAGTCACCTCCCACCAAACCACAACAGACCTCCGCACCTGGACCCCAGTAACCTACGACGCCATCTACGACAACCCGGCCTCCCGCCCAGGCATGCCGTCCGTCGCCCGCCTCCCCGACGGCCGCTACTTCTACGCCTACGAATACGGCGGCGACCCCTCCTTCTCCAATTACCAGTTCCCCATCCACTACCGCATCGCCGAGGATCCCACCCAATTTCGTGACGCGCCCGATTTCCTCGTCTCTGGGAACGGTCGCCGATCACCCACTACGGGGCCTTACGTGGTTTGGACACCCTGGGGAGGCGGCGACAACGGGACCATCATCCTTAGTGCGTATCAGGGCGAGATCTGGGCAAACCAGGCCTTGGGCGATCCTAGAGCTTGGAGGTATTACAGTGTTGGCCAGCCGAGTGCGTATACTCGCTCGCTGAGAATCTTCAGGGATAGACCCGAGCTTATGATCATTATTGGGGCGGGTTACTTGCCGCCTAGTGATAGTAATAGGGTTAGTCTTAGCGTTGTCGATTTGAATCAGGTCATTCGATAGAAATAGAACGGGAGATCGTGGTCCTGCTGGCTAGAGTCCGCCCGAATATATGGGAAAGGTCGGACCAGAAAGGAAGAGAAAGGATACACATCTTCTAGTCTATTGATGCCGGTCTGCGTGCTTGAGGCACTCTGCTTCGTAGTAGCCCAAACGGTTATCGTACAAATTCCGACCTGGCATAGAAATGTAGAGTGTGTAACTAGGGGAACAACATTTCGATTTCTTGAGATCCTCCGCTATCTAACCCAAGGTATCATTGAGCCAACTGGAATTGGAGCTGCGCCGCCAAACAAAGGAAAATGGGGGGAAAGAGTGAGCAGTAATGGGATGTAATAGGTCTGGATTTTATAATAGGAGATGTGAGATGGAAAGTATCCTCTTCCCTCTCTGGTATAAGTGCATGACCATGACAAAGGAAAAAGAAGGAGAAAAAAGGTGAGAAAAATAAAGATCGGTAGTGTGCCATTCTGAGGTCGTCGAATTCTTCATCACTCCAGAACTCCGCCCTCATCTTTTGGAAATAGAAAAGAAGATATTCGTCCAGCTCTCGAGTTCCACTTCCTCCTTCTCTCAAGGCTCTCGTACATATTCCGGACCAAAAAGAAAAAAAAAATCATCAACCTTTCTTTACACTTTACATATTGCTTCCCGCATCACTGCCGGGATAACCGCTCACCTGCCCCGGCATCGGACTTACGCTTCGGCTATTCTCGCCATTCGACAAAAAGCTCTGGTCGATGCGGAATATCCAATCCATCTTGTCCCTCTCGCTCCTAGCCGCAAAGAGCCACGTGTTGTCCGTACCATATATGGCAAACACGGCCGACTGCAGCCGTTCGCTCAGCCTATGCAGACCCTGTCCCTTAGACGGACTGCCCCCGCCGGTCCCTGTCCAGATAGTCGAGATGACCCGTCCGGAGGCCGTCCGCCGGTGCCCGGGAACAAAGTCTGTTGTGCTGCTCTGGCTCCTCTCCATGTCGCCGTCGTGAATTGTGCCGCCTTGCAGGAGCGCGAGGATACCCGGCTGGCTGTCAACCCGCGAATTGCGGAGGCTAACAATGGCGACTTCCTCGCCGTCTGTCGCCGAGTGAATGTGCAAATACGGCCGCCTGAGCTCCACGAAGCGCTTGACCCAGCGCGTAGAGTCGCTGTTGGGCACGAGTAAATAGCCACTCTTGAGCATCTTGGGATTCCTTGGCACGCCAATGACCGTCGTGATTAGGCTGGGCGGCGGGGCGGGCTGCGCGGTGAGGCCGTCGGCCGGTGGCGCGGTGTTTTCGGGACTGAGGATTCGTCGTAAGGGGTCGGGATACTTCTGCCACAACTTGACACATTTGGCCAGCAGAAGCTTTTCTGTATCCGAGTAGAGAGATTCCTCGGGGTTTCGTTGTTCCGATTCCGTGCTCTCTTCCGGCCTTTCCACTTCCTTCTCTCCATTAGCATTCTTCCCATTCACACCGTTGGGTTGAGGCTTATCGCCATTAATTTCGGCTTCTTCCGTTGCGCACGTTGCCAGCGTTTGTGATGCCTCCGGGGTGTCGATGAGTAAGTCGTCGTCGCAGTACTTCGTCGGCGGAGGTTCTAAAGGCTCATCATCCTCCTCCTCAGCCGCCGGTTCCTCCTCCTTCTTCGGTAGTTGGATCTTCCTCAGGAAACTTTGAACGGACGCAATCTCGGCTGCCCTCTTCTTCTTCTTACCGGCGGCAACGTGGTCGAGCACGAGGGAAACACTTCTTGGCGTCCATGATGTCAGGTGTTCTTCGCCCTTGATATAGTCGTGCTGGCTGTCCATCCTCCACAGATCACCGACACGCTTGATGGGGGCGGGACGCATCGTTAGCGTGAAGATGCTGGGCGACGAGTGCACAACCTTGGTGGTCTGCCATAACGCCGAAAGCATCGAAGTTTGGCGCACGTGTGACCTCGAAAGGATCCGGCAGAACACAGTAGATGAAAACTTCATTGGTTCAGCCAACTTGCCGGAGCTAATCTCCCATGAGATTGTCATCTGCACTTGGCTCTTCTCGGCCGTTACTCGATCTAGGAATGGCGTATCGTGCAGACTGGAATCCCATTGGCCAAAAAGAGTGATGCTCCTCGTGCCATTCGCGTTCTCGCGGAAGATTGGCTTAGTCGACAATCGTAAGGAAATGTCGAGCGGTGTAGAGCTTCCTTCTGACACCTTGTCGGTCGCCTTGCCGGTTCGGTCGACCAGCTGTATCTTACCCACTCGCAAAGAGACGACGTCGTCCCAGGACAGGGTATCACCAGAGCTGTGAGTGACATTGATCGCAATGCGCCGCTGGAGACCCTGGTGCAGCTGAAAGGTACCAACGTCCATATCTCCGACCTGCGTGACGTCGACAGGGACATAGTCTCCATTCTCGCTCATCTCGAGGATTTGAATGCGCGCTAGAAGATCATGCTTCTCCTGCGTGTAGAATTGTGATTCGGCGATCCTGGCTGCCTTCGACTGTCCTTGGACCATTGGGACGGCGTCTCTCATATCATCCCAACTTAGAAGCTTGTCGAGATGCATAGCAGATACCCGTGCATAGACGGCAACCCGCAACATGGCAGACTCCGAACTAAATAGGGAAATACTCATGCTGTGCATACTTTCGAACCGGATGGGACCCTCATCGAAATCCTTGATCATTTGCGTCGTCGTAATCCCATCCTCTTCTGAGAAGCCGGGGATAAAGAGTTGTGCGTGGACATCGGTACCTTCCCGCTCCGCAAAACCAATCAGCTCTTGCATAACAACGTTGAACTTGATGGTATTAGTGGGGGCGCGAGCATGCGAAGGTTCGAGCGCGAGCTTCATGATGCCGATAGCGTGAGAGGTATGAGGCGAGAGTACATCTAACGCGAAATCTTGGACCCGGCTTTCGAACACTGCCTTCAGAGGCACGTCGACCTCGCCGACTAGAGTAAACTGCGGCATGCAGGACTCCACGAATGGGTTCTCAGCTGGGAGATCCTTGGCGTATTCCGGTTGATCGAGGTACTGGTGCATCTGCCTCATCTGCCGCACCCTGTCATGCAGCTTCTCCAAGCTCCAGAGGTGGACGACGCTGTGCTTGTAATCAACCACACGCACGCCGATACAGGGCTTCGGTGCCTCCGTTAGGGCTACATCATCAGAGTCGCCCGTGAGCCCGTTGAGTACCATGTCATATGAAGAGCATAAAGTATGGCCAACATCTACAATGGTAAACTGGAAAACGACATGTTCCTCAAGCTCGTTGCTCATTATTTGAGCCTCTTTGAGGATCGAAGCATGCTGAAGAACCGCTTCTGCCATATGCACGTACCGCCGACTCCTCCACTGCGCAACGACCTTCTTCGCGAGCTCGATTTCCTCCTCCGACAGTTTCGGGTTGGCTCTTGGTCGTTTCAGCGGATCCATCTTCTCTAGTTTCTCCTCGAACTGCTTGCGTTGGACTTCGAGCTGCCGTTGCATGTCCTCTTTTATCGTCTGAAGTGCTTCTTCCATCCTAACCTTCTCCTTCTTGATCTCTTCGACTTCTACGTTGGCAGCTTCGGCGGATTTGAGCTGTTCTTGGAATTCCTCTCTCTGCTTGTCGAGTTGTGATTGCATCTCTTCACGTACGTCTCTGAGCTTATCTTCAACCTCCCCCTGCTTCGGCGTCGAGGGCATTGTCAACGCGGTGTCGAGCGAGAAGTTATCAATGGTCCCCGTGGAAAGGTACTTTTCACGGAAGGCGTACGAAGTGCCCGACTCCGAATCCTCTTCATTTTCCCGGCCATTGACACGCTCAGCTCTCGCTCGCTGCACATCTTCAAATAGTGCGTTGAGCTCCTCGTCCGTCAAGCTCGCGAAATTCTGGTCCGTGCCCAAGATGGCACCGGCAGCTTCCCGTCTCGCCATTGACCAGTCCGAGTCCCTACCACTTCGGAGGAAGGGCGAAGGCGAGGCGGGTCGACTGTCTCCAAAATCCGATATAGCCTTACTATAACTTCGCTCGTGTCCGTGTCGGGGGCTGGGTATGGGAGAGGAGAGGTCCAGGTTTTGCAATTGGTTCGCCGTAAGGGATTGTCGTAAAAGGCTCTGGCCAAGTTCGGCTCGCTCGGCGCGTTCTGCCTTTGCTTCCATGGGATGGTTGAATCGGAAGATATGGAAATCACCGAGAATAACTCTATAACCCGAATGCAGTTGCTTCGGCTCAGTAATTCGACGACCGTTAACCATGACCGAGGCTTCCGGCTTGGGTATCACTGTCACAGTTCCGTCCGGCCCATTCTCGAAAGCGCAGTGGTCCGGTAATATGCGGCTCCCATTCAGACGTATATTGACTTGGTGTTCGCTGTTGGCTTCCACGTTTCCGACTGTCGTTAGACCGGGCTTCAGGTTGTACACCAAACATTCGGCCAGCAAAGGATCGTCCGACAGGTTGACAAGATGGGGCATCTTCTTTGGCGTGCTAAGGCCGACGAAGCCTTTCTCGATGCTGATTCCGAGTTCCTCGAGAGCGGCTTCTCGTTCTTTGTGAATAGCCTCCGTTTTCGCCAGCTTCTGCTCCCAGGTCTGATTTAGGTCGGTAAGCAGCTTCTCACTCTGAGTCAACTGTTCCGCAATTTCCGCCTTGGACACCTTCTTCGATGCGCCATCAGGCGTCGTGATGGTAACGAACTGCTTATCTAGGGGCGTTCCCGGCGCGTATACTTCTTCTGGCGGTACTACAGCACCGGCGGCACCACCGACGCCTGCACCTGCACCTGCACCACCACTGCCAGCACCGACGCTGCCGCCGCCGAGTTTGCTGCGCAAAAGCGCAAGTTCTTCCTTTAGTTCTCGAATCATTCGGGCATTGGCATCCTCGTTGATCACGGCGTGGTTCTTGATCCTCTTGGCAGAGTCGGCGTATCGAAGGGTACTGAGGGTTTCGTCGTAATTGATATCAGCCGGGCTGATTGCGGCAATCATGGCCGTCATACTGTTTCCTCCCAACGAGTCTTTTAACAGCCAAGTTAGGACACTGTCTCGATATGGCACTTGCCCATGCCCACCCCCCTTCCTCTTCTTGCCTGTCGATAAGTCGGCGAGCGCGGCAATCACACGACCAAGGGTGGAAAGCGATCGGTTGATCTCGGCACCTTCCTTGAGTCGCGCACCCGTGGCACCTGTGGATGTTGCTCTTTCAGAACCAGCAAGATCGACCAGACTAATCTTGGCCACCTTCTCCATCTCCATCTTTGTATCGGGATCGTATCTCTTCTGGGTGAGCATGAGCGTAAAAACGGCGTGGCTTCGACTCGATGTTTCGTTCATATTCGTGGCAGCGACAGTCCTAGCCTTGTTTCCCTCGTCCATCAGATTCTCGATTTCCTGGAAGCTACTGACCGCGAGCTTGGCCAAATCTTCGACGTAAGGACCGGTCGAAGGGTGCTCTCGAACTTTCAGGTTGCCTTTCGTCGAGGGGTTGAGCAAATCGCGCACTCGTTCGTTGTAGATTTCGAGATATGACACTTCGACCGTACAGCGTAACGACTTGTCTGATTGCATCTCCCCTATCCTTCGGAACATGTCTTGGCAAATCATGGGGATGATACCAATTTCCTTGCCGTAACCCATCATAGAATAAGACTTCCCAGAACCAGTCTGGCCGTAAGCAAAGATACAGTTGTTATAGCCCTGGAAGGCATTGTCGAGCAGAGGTTTACCGAGATCTTCGAAGAGGTTGGATTGTCCGGCATAGTTCGGAGCGTCGCGACTAAAGGACCAATACGACTTATCGAATGCGAAGACTTTGGAACCGGTATCCTTGGCGCCTTTCCCCGTTCTCTCGTAATCTGGCGGCGGAGTCAAGACCGTCTGGTTGTCCTTCATTTCAACGATGCATTTTGCGTTTCGGTCCATTTCTATTTCATAGTCAGCCGTTTTTATTTTCCCGCGGGTATCAGCAAGTTGAAAGGGGGCCTCAGCCTGCACGACTTTTGCGCTTCACGCGATAGCATGCCAAACCAAGCCTCCTTCGGATAGTTCCTCCTCACCTCTGCCGTTGAAAGGTCGGACACGCACGACGACCTTGATATTTCCCCCGCCGCCGGGGGCACCGCCGGGAGCCATCTTGGTTAGATTCTTCTTCCAGGACCAAGGCGGTCCTGGAAACGACTATGGGAGTGCTCGACCAAGGCTAGTTCCTTTCACTTGACTGTACTTTCGTCGACAGGGCGCAGCTGATATCGTGGAGGCGAGAAATTCCGGTGTTGTTTAACAAGTTCGACAACAGGGTTTTTGTAAATGCGGTGTCGTCTGCCTCCTATTTGTTCATGACACGACGCCCAACGCAGACTCTACCATACATCCTCCCGTTCCGTTCGCCGAAGCACCGGCTAAGCATATAAGACGGAGCTCGGATCTGCTCTGCTTCCGCCTGCGGAGTGACGAAAAGAAAAAAAAGGTTGTCGCGAGTCGAGGACTCTGCTCAAGATTCACTCGTGGCAGACAGGAGAAGCGTTGGGGAGGACCCAGAACAGACGAAGGAAAATGACACCGCAAAATGACCAGGGTCCGACTTAATGATACAACGATTCGATGATTTGGCGGCGGGGCGGTCGGGGCGGGCCAAGTCCTCGGCAGGATCGGCCGTGGATAGGGACAACGGGTTTGGAAAATCGTATGCTTCGTTTTTATGGAATTTTTCTTTTTCGATATCGGAGCAGCACGAAATAATCGGACTAGGGATTCTAGGGATCTCGTGGGGATTTTGCCACGGGGTTCGTCGCAAAATCCCATGTGTCAACAAATTTCTTTTTGGCTCATCTGGGAAAGTGGGACGGACGAGGAACGTGAACGCGTCCGCGCTATTGCTCATGCGTTTAATGCGTTGTACGGAGCAGAGGCAGATGCTACTTTGGGTTTGATTGGGTCGGAAATTGCGCCCGTTGGAATGAGCAGGGGTACGTACCTTCGAAGCAGACGAAGCAGGCATCCGCATTAATGGAGCGTCATTCTTGGCACGTGACTGTCGCCCAGCGAAGGGCCGTTGCCAGCTGCGAAGAAACTGGGATTGTCAAAGGATGGGTCAGAAATTCATCTGGAACTCAAACTCATCTCATGACGACCTCATCCAGAATTTATACATATGACACCTCTCCCCCGCCTTTGAGAATATGCATGAGCTATTTCTGACATCGGAGGACGACTCTAATTGTGGAATATTCTCCATCACCCCGGAGAACTCCACTGATTTTCCGTCGCCGTTTAAACATGCAGCTTTACGAAGTAGAATCTGAAAAGATGACCTGCAACCAAACCTACTCAAATGAGACAGCCCATTTGTACCAGCACAAAAAGTGACACGGAATTGAGAAATGTTCGTTCTTCCGGATACGAAGCGGCCATCTTCTGGACAGAGCATGACTATATCATGACTGGAAGAGGTGTAAATCATACATGTCTACTTTACTCAAGTCCAAGATCCTTCTCGACCATTCCTCTGCAAATAGGATGGTAAAAGTCCTTGTTCTTCTCAAAAGTCTTCAGCGCCAACTCTCTATCCACCTTATTCAGCCCCCTAAAAAGAGGCCTTACGAACTTCATCCGACCGACACGGCCGAGGAGGTCCGAAACGCCTTCATAGGACGAAGTGTCCTTGGCGCCCATCGCGATGTGGTAATAGGCGGCCTTGAGCTCAACGTTCTGCGACGAGAGAAGGTCGTAGGCATCACCGAGGAGCTTGGCACGCTCGGAGCTGATGGGAGGATCGAATTTTTGGATAGATTCGAGGAAGACGAGTTTCTGATTGGCAGAGAACGACTCGACGTCGCTCTTTGAAGGGCTGTAGGACTGCCTTGGGTTAGCATACGGAGTGAAGAGAAAAGAACTTCTAGGTGCCCGGCGACTGCGACTTACAGAATCCTTCCACTTCTCTGCGAGGGAGTAGCACTGATCGACGTAAGACGTGTCAAAGTCCGGCTTAGGCGGCAACCCAGGGTTGTAGAAGCGCCCCTCCCAGTCAATCTCGGCGACCTTCTTCTTGATTTCTTCGTCTCCCAGGCTGTCAAAGAAGGAGATAAAGGTCTCCTTGAATTCAAAGGAGTCCAGAGACTTGCCCGAGAACTTTGTGAAGTAGTGGGGGATGAACTTGTCAAAGTTGTCCCGACCGACGAGCTTCTCGAGGTAGTACAGGAAGTGGAATCCCTTCTCATATGGCACAGTGCTGAAGGCATCATCCGGATCCACACCCTTAAGCGTGGGAATGAGCTTGGTGTATTCGTGATCGGCACCGAAATGTGTAATTGAATCCTCTATCGTCACTGTTAGAATGATGCTACCAGGCATGGGAGGTCAAGGTCAGGACATACCAAGAGCTTTCCATCCGATAATCGCAGAGAAGTCGCGCTCCGGCTCGCCATGAATAGCGGCGCCGATCCTACGCTCAAGATACACGGTCCATCCTTCATTCAGCCAGCTTTGATATCAATGAGATTAGCTGTTTGCCTAATCGCGTGGGCGGTATCAGGAGAGTAAGCCTTACAAATGCTCCCAGCTGCAGCTGGTGACGAGGTTTCCACTCCAGCTATGGGCCAACTCATGGGCAATCACGTCGATGTTTTGCCTATCACCGCTGATGATGGTGGGTGTCGCAAATGTATAAACGGGGTTTTCCATGCCTAGTTCCGTCCTTTAGATCTCAAGTTCTATGATGAAGAGTTCATTTCAAAATACTCACCGCCGTAGGGGAAGCTAGGGGGAAGAACCAAGACGTTATACTCCCCCCACTTGTAGGGAAAGACGACCTTTTCGGCAACCTCCATAAATTTATCCATATCCTGCTCGAGCTCCCATTTCGCACCTTCGAGCTCCTCAGGACCCGTTGCAATCTTGCTTCGAGATCCAATCTTGGCCGTTGCAATATCTCCCGACGCGAGAGCAAAGAGATAGGAAGGGATAGGGACCTTTTGCTCAAAGACGTAAGTAGTACCATTCTCGCCGATGGTCTCGGACTCAAGCACACCACTTGCAACTACCGGCAATGGGGAGGTGATGTTGAAAGTGTAGGTAGACTTGACGTCAGGCGTATCCTGGCATGGGAAAAGAGAGCGGGCATGGATGGCTTGGCACTGAGAGAACATGTAAGGGTGCTTCTTGTTGGAAGTCTGCGCTGGGGTAAGCCACTGCAGCGCCGTGCACTCCTTAGTAGTCTGGAGCTCGATGCTCAGGTCAAGTTCGTCTCCCTCAGCAGCTCCCTCGGGAACCGAGATGTGCAAAGGCGAACCAAAGGCCTTGTGGCGCTCCTTGAGCTCCCATTGTGCAGGGGAACCGCCAACGGAGACAGACTTGACAGAGACGAAGCTCGAGTCAAGAATGATCTCATTGCTCTCCTTCTGGGTCCGAGACAGAATACGGTAGTCAACCCGTCCCTTCAGAGCATGCTCATCAAAGTCAATCGTCAGATTGGCAGTCGTGTGCTTGGTCAGCCAAGCGGCATAGTTGGAGAGGGTGTTTGGATCCCGAACTGAAACTCCCATGATGGCGGTAGCTGTGTATGTCCGGTAAGAGTACACAGAGGGGGCGCGATTCTGTATCCCAGATGGAACTCTAGCAAATAGTCTGCTGCTGAATGAACGCAGCGAGGTAAACATTTACAAAGTAGCTGGCGGACAATCCAATTGCCGCCCGATGACTGCTGATGTGCTCATATGCGTGAGATCGTGTGTTTGTCAACTGTCTTTGCAGCCACCTGCCTCATTGGTCAAGCAACACGGGTGGGTTTCCATAGCAGCTGGAAACACCTGTTGACGCCTCTAAACAGACCACTGACATCACCAAGAATGAGGCGGTTAAGGCGAACTTTTGGGGCGAACTTTTGTTTAGCAGAATCTTTTAGCTTCCTCGTTTCTTCGTTTTGTTACTCTTGGCTTCCAGGCACGGGTAGTCGCGGGACAGATTTCTACTTCGTACGATAAAAACCCGAGCTTCCATCGAGGATCACGAAGTAGAGGACATGGAGAAAATTGACCCCGCTCACCAACTGTCGTACCTTCGCATATTTGCACCTAGAAGGAGCTAACCCAAGATCATGACAGGACGCCTATCCAGATCCAGTTTAGGGGCACGGAGCTCTTCCGCTCCCCTTAACTTATATACGAAGTACGAAGTAGATGTGTGTGGATCCTGAAACAAAGAGGAAGAAACACAAGAGCTTTGAGCAACCAAACAGGTCTGGCCGGGCCAGGCACTTGGACTTGGGACGAAACAACTTAGCCCTCCTGCCCCTGTGAGATGCCTTTCAGGCACCGAGTCTAGATTCCGGGATGCATTGCTGCTTTAAATTGCCAATTAGCGTCAGGGTTGTGGTAGGCTCAGGGAGATGGACGTTCGTGAAGCATTTTCCGAGATTCAAAGGGTTACTTTATAAAGCCGAATGCTTTCGAGAAATCCCCAAATGGGGAAAAATAGAATTCTGTTTCAAACCCTGCATGAGACAAAAGTATGTGGAGCGGAGTGCCTGTATCAATCTGAAAGAGCTTGGGATGTCGGTGAAAGCGGTTCGCCAACATAGCTTCGGAAACAAGGACATCCCCGCCACCAACCGTCTGCCAGAGAAGTACTCATCCCCTCCTCGAACGGACTCCGTCTCGAAATAGCATGGCGTTTTGCGTTCAACTTCGTGCTGTGGTGTCCCTTCTCTCTGGCACTTCACCACAGCGTCGCATCGAAAGGATCAAATCATGGTGAGCTTCTAAGTCAAATGCCGAAACCACGTCGAAGAACTAGCAGATCCCCTTGAAACGGTTCCAACAGAATGTTCCAAATGTTCCATGTCAAGACATCCGAAGCAGTCTAACCCACCGGCCTCAATGTCTAGAACAACGAGAGCACCCTCTTCTCTATCTGGTGGGTATGACAACCACTTCAGCCTTTTTTCTTTTTTTTTCTTTTTCCTCAAGGAGGGTCAATCCCGCAGAGCCCGAGCAGCAAGTACGATGTAAGTAGCCAATAATAGGGATTGGGGTCCTTGCGCCTCCGCCGAGAACATCGCGATGCATAACAGCCATCCTAAGACAAGACATGATGGGTGGCCAATTTCAGACCCTCCTTTAGTTATCATTAAGCTCTGGCATATCGATTAAAGTGGCCGGGACTAAAATGGAGGCCCCAATGCTGCGGCGTCTTACTATTTTGACCTTGAAACATCTCAAGTTGGATGTGGAAGCGGGGGAGAATCAGTGGGAGTTGAGATTTTGCAGACGCACCAGGGAGCCATCCACAAGATATTGCTTCGTCTACGCTCACCGCCAGTGCACTTTCAGGACTAACTGCAGCAGCCAGAAAGACGGAATATGTGTTAAGGTTGAACGTATGCCAATAGCTCTAACGAGTCCGTGATCTTTCAGGGAGGATCCCTCATCGCAGAACAGAAGCGGGATCGGCAGTAATGCGGGGTAGACATCTACAATCCTGCCGGATCGCCGGGCTCAGACCGTCGAACTTGACGGCAATTTTAAGGAACTTCTGACCTACGAAGTACACTCCGGCAGAAAGTGTTGGGAGGCCATTTGGAGATGGGATTGTAATCGTACTACTGTATCCCGCATCCTCGCATCACGCCCGTCACAGAGGATGTTCGGAGTAGTCACTGAAGAGGGTCACCATCAATCAGCAGGTCCTAGTAATATTTTACTCCGATTCTATGAGCAGCTGTGTGATGGATGTTCTCTCCGATGTACTTTGCCGTTGCACCGATGGTTTGCCCGATCGGGTCTCCGGGTCTCCAGGCCTCCAGGCCTCCAGTTGATCCAGCTTGTCTCTTATTCAACTCCACTATTTTGCTTCAAGATACTTTCCGTCCACTTTCCATTCCGTAATTTTCCTCGAGCTTTCACATTTCACGGTGTCCAATTGCTCTAGAAACCCTGCGCCCTTACTCTTTTGGCAAAATGAAACGTGTAAGTCGCCAAAGCAACATGTCAGGTCATCTTTTCAGCTAACAAGCACGGGCTAGGCTATACCAAATGGGACTACTGTTATCTAACTAGCATCCATCGCTTGCTCTCTTTGCTGGGGCTACTAGCGATACCCTCATCCATCGCTTCCGTTCCCGTTCTAATGACCTCAGCTCTGAGTTGGCGGCTAGGACAGTTTCCCCTCGAGTATCTTGAGCAGAAAGCGGGCTTGTTAGTGGCGGGATCCTAAAAATATTCCTACTTCGCCGGAAGGGATCATTGGGTTTTGAAGTCGAGCTTACGCCGTTGCGTAACTAGGAACGGGCCCGAACCGGCGATGCTCGGCCGTGTATAGTGAAGGACTGACAATCTTGGAAGTTTCCATGGAGCCTTGGTGAGTTTATATCCTTACTTAGGAACATAACAAGTGTGGTTATCTCCATTGTCTTTAATAAGGCCGTTTAACTTTCATCGGGATCCGCTGCAGTCTACTCTTCAGGGGGTGGCCCTATACAGACATAGTCAACAGGGTCCTTTCTCTGTGGTGGCGACTAATGGTATCTGTGAGATTCACCGCCAGCGAGTAACACTCTCAACCATACACACTATCGAAACCATTCCTGCACTTGCAAACTTCGGAGGCACGAATGTCCGACCATGTCTCGCCTTTGTCATAACTAACCACGGTGGTTTCTATCTTGTCAGTCATTCTCGTTGATACTGCAGCTACTTGGCGCCACAGATTTGGCGCTGGGAATGCTGGGCCGAGTTTGGCTATAACCATCAGTTATAGTGAGGTTCTAGCGATGCTTTGACAGAGCTGGATGAACTTGAATCCAACTTTAATGCTGTGTCATGAGGGAAGGAATTTGCAGTGGAGACCGGGGACGAAGGGACGATGGGACGATGGGAATCATGGCAGATATGTCCTTATGGGGTAGCTAGAAGTAGACATTATTGATTTTGCAAACACGGCTGCTTTAGATAAGTACATCTTCTCTTCTTCTCATAGGCGAAGGGAGCATCAGCGCTGACGTGTGGGTGCAGAGGTCCACACCGACCTCCACCGTAGATCAATGATGTTCACCAAGATATCCCTTGCTTCTTCCGGGAGTGTCACGCTTCAACACCAACCCTCTGGGTGGCGTTCCAGACGAGCAGATGCCTTGTGTGTCTCAGCGGTTAGGGCTGTAGGCTTACAAAATTTCCAGGGTTGTATAAGTTCTATGAGATTCAGTAAGGGGGTCTACTCTGTAGGCACCCTAAATGTATCTAGAAATGGGCAAGGAGCAATAAGATTCATCAACGGATATCATTAGCTGCTCTGAAAACAAGACGTCCAGATAAGCCAAAAATGGCAACGCTAGAATAGACATATTCAAAGTTGGGTGGAACTGGTGCTCGCCACGGCAGTTATTAGAAACTACAGCTACGAAGCTGGAAGCGGTCCACAACGAGACGCCTAGGTTGAGATTGTGGTCGAAGAGGAGGAGAAGCCAGCCTGGGAGGGAAGGCTTGGATGTCTTCCAATCGATGCCGTTAAGAAACTGCCACCCCGAGAGTCGAAGCAGAATTAACCTTACAATGTATGCAAGCACTTTTAAAAAAAAGAAAAAAAAACTCCCCAATTTTTTTTTTTCTTCTTCTTCACTAAATTGGTCCTGCTCGTTTCGCTAAACACCTAGCGCACGGCAGAGGAGGCAACGGAGATCTCCCGTTATTGTCTGAAAGGCACGGCATCGCCGAAGTGCTCAATCAAAGTGTTCAATGGTCAATTGAAGCAGGGAAAATGGGGTGTGTTGCTATCGAGACTGAAAACTCGAGAAGAAGTCAATCACAAATCTAAAGACAAGACGAGACGACACGAATTGATGGAATTGATGGGAATTGATACTATATCCAAGCGGCAGGAACACAATCGGTTACCCCACAGCAATAAATCTCGGACACTTTCCCTCTCGTCTATCCTTCTTTTAAGAAGACGCCCCCAATTAATTAATAGAAAAGAAGCCAGGGCCGCCGAATCGAGTCAAAGTGCTTGCAGGAGGGGGGACCAGGAAAAGAGAAAAAAGGGAAAAGAAATTAGATCGTTCCCGCCTTTTACTATAAACCATCCCGTCTCTCCCAAGCCGGTACGGAAGGGAAGGGAGGAGAAGGAAGGGAAGAGCACAAGTCATCACTTGATGCCTGTAACGTGATGGATAATGAAAGGAATGGGCTCTTCGGGAGAGGCGTCAAAGCTTCAATGCATCTCTTCTCAAGGAGGAGCGGGGAGAGGCGGAGATGCTTGTGAGGTGAAGGGAAGCCTTGGTCCAAGGAATAAACGGATGAGCCGCATTTCCCTTAAACCTCAGGATTCTGGGGTGCAGTTGATTATTGCATCCTGACAACCCAAAATTGAACGGCATTGACGTTCTGGTCATGGGAGGGCTGCCGTCTTGTGTGCATATTCTAGGGATCATGACGAGGAGGAGTGAGAGTAACATAGAGAGGCAAGAACATCAACTTACCCACGCACGCACACACTCTCTCCTCTCTCTATTACTTGCGGACAGAGAAATACACAAGACAAGACGGTCAGA